TGGTGGTTCAAACAGGAAAAAATTAAAATAAGCAACATAAACTTAAAGAAGAATAAAAGAAAGACTAGAGGAAACAGAAATTTAAGAATAACTAAACTTTATCACGTTTACAGTTCATTCAATCTTTATACACACATGTATGCATTTTCAAGCATAAAGTTCTCATGAGGTATAAATTTCTGTGAAAACTGGGATTCATACATACATGTATTTAATATTTGAACATTTTGCAAACCAATACATGCATGTATTAAGAACACAAGTTCTATTGAGACAATGAAACCATAACAGCAACTTAAAACTTGAAAAGTGGGTTATTAATTCTTTAGATCTGCAGTATTTCATTCTCAATATATTTTGTTAATACAAGTACTTGTATAAATGTTCAGTATTAAAAAATAAAACTGGCAAGTTAATTTATATGAATAAAAAATATAATACTTACAATTCATGTTGACTGAAATGCATCTTCAAAATCATGATTTGTTATAAAGTATCTAGTACAATTAATGATCTGGCAATTCAAACTTCAGAACATTTTTCATTTAAATTTTGAATGAAACAGGGGGCCTGGAAAAAATAAACAAAAAATAAAATTCAGTATTCAAACTATATAAAAAATATGCAGCACTGCATAATTGTATAAGTTTTTTATATAAATCTTAACATACATCCCATTCATGGGGCAAAAAAAAAATGTGTACAAATTTCTTCGTCTTCCATGCACCAATGGAAAATCTTCATAAAGCCTACATAACTTTAGTGTTATGTCTCTGTGAGCTGAAAGACTTCTGGTTTGTAACTGGCCTGGCTCTGTGTCTGATCTCTTTCTTTATCTTGCTTGGCTTCTTCTTCGAGTTGTCTTTCCTTGTCGTACTTACTCTCATCATGAATCATTGTTCTTCTCAATGGGTCTCTATATGGGTGCATGTGAAATACAAAAGTTTCCCAGTTTACATTTTCTAGTCCAATTTGTTTAAGTTCTGACATCTTACGCTCTATATATGAGACTGGATCTTCTGGCCTCTCCAGCATTAGACAGCTCAACAAACTCTCAAACATCTGAGGTATTCTGTGGGTGGCAAGGTATTGTTTTGCTTGCTCCCTTGTTCCAGCCATTTTCATTTGTACACCTGTAAATTTGGGGGAAAACAATGAGAAAAAAATAAAATAAAATAAATTTTCTTAATATCTTGAGACATTTCAATTATTCTTTTCAATGATGCAATCAAACAAAATGTAAATTTTTACTTTCAAGCAAACAAAGGATTTGTAAAACAAAGGAAACTGAGGAAATTCGGTTCAAAAAGGATTGTTTGATTTTTGTGCTTACGAAATACAGGGTAATATAATCGTTAAATACCCATAAAACATTATAACTGAATAAAAAACAAAAGGGATTAACTTACCCAAAATTTTAACCTTTACGAATAAAAACGGGAAATGGTCATTGTTCTTTTTCCTGACGCTACGGTTACTATGGAGTGAAGGACCCCGATCCCGATATCAATTGCCATAAAACTTGCGATTGACCTTGCGGATATGTATTCGGAGTAAATTAGCCCCTGTGATCTATTTTTAAAATTGTTTTAATGTATTAATTAAGATTGTTCAATTAATTCCAGAAATAAAACATATCGAAACTATTTTTCAACTCATCTTCAATGAATTTTTCACCTACCAATCTCTACTTAAAAAAATATCTTGAGATTTTTAGACGGGGTCACGTCACGTGACCCCGTCTATTAGTTTACTGTCAGAGCCCTCAAAAAGGAAGCCGTGGTGATAACACATGAATTAAATCTACGCTTTATGAAAGAGTGCAGAAATTATTTTGATCAAAAAATATACATTCTGTATCAAACAGAAGAAAGTGATATAAACTTTTTTTAATCAAATTCATGAAGCATTTTGTAAACGTAAACTCAATATTAATTGTAAAACACACTAGTAAACAAAGTACTCTCCTGCGTAGTATTACGACTGCGTACGCATCATCCATTGTTTACTTCCGGTGAATTATTAATTCGGACCAGGTGAAATTCGGACAATTCAAAAAGGTTTCTAGACTTACCAATTATTGAAATTTCTACTTCAAATTAAATAAAAAACGCAAATTTATATTATTCACAGTTTTGTTTTTAGTCTGTTAATTTAAAAAAAATTATCAAAACTCCTTAAAAAATCACATTTGTAAAATCTAGCATGAAAATTGTTTGACGGTTGACCCCGTCTTTCAGTACTGTCTCAGTACTTTGATTTAAATTAGGCCTTCATCGGAACCCCCCCCCCCCCCCACACACACACACCCCAACCCTCAAAAGAAAACAAGACGCGCAAGACTGATTTTTAGACGAGATCGAGGGCGAAATGTATTATACTTGTTACCATTGTGATAAAGTTTACTTCATAGTTCCTATAAAACTTACTGTATATAAAAGTCTTTAGCAAATTTTGAACACAGTACATGTATGGACTATGTGGATCGAATGCGTTATTATATACAGTATAAAAGTACACTGTATATCCTTGCAGGAGTTAGAAAGATTTGAGTTCCCCATGGCCAGGACTATCACTTTCCCTACATAATATAATTTTAATGTTTAATTTTAAAGAAAATAATATTGTGGGTACATTTATATTACTTTGTGGATTCAAAGATTTTTTTTATGAGCATTTTCTTATATGCATATACTTCGGTCTAAACTGCTAATTTTATGAACCTGAGGATCGGACTACCTTAATTATAAACATCAGTATTTCTTTTCCAAATTGCATTAATTAAATGCGGTAAAACATAACACACTTCGAGGAGTCTTTTTTAAAGTTCGTAAACAGCGTATTTTTTTTAAAGTGCGTTGCCATAGAATATAGTTAATCTATACTGTTTCAGATATCTTTATGAAATCTTTATTATCTCCCCTTGGGAGAGGGTGTGGCTCTTCATTTTTAGCTCAATGGTCAGAGAAGTTTGATGTTCATCGTCCGTGCGTCTAGCTGCATGTCTGTCTGTGTGTAAACATTTTTTTTTAAATGCTTCTCCTCCTACAGTTTTTGTCTGATATCATTATAACTTGACACACAGATAGACTACAGTAAAATACATAATTTCGTGCATCGGTTTTCGATTTCCACGAACGGTGTTGCCATGGTTACTAAATATAGAATTTTTCTATGAAATTCCTTTAAAATGCTAGTCTTCCTACAGTTTTTGGTCTGATTTCAATACATAACTTGGCACACAAGTAGACTACAGTAAGGTACATAATTCAGTGCATTGGATTTTGATTTCCATTAACATTGTTGCCATGGTTACTAAAAATAGAAATTTACGTGAAATTCCTTTAAAATGCAACCCCTACTACAACTTTTTTTCTGATTTCAGTATAATTTGGCACACAAGTAGACTACAGTAAGGTACATAATCCAGTGCATTGGATTTTGATATCCATGAACAGTGTTGCCATGTTTACTTAAAATAGAAATTTATGTGAAATTCTTTTCAAATGCTACGGTACCCATCTACAATTTTTGGTCTGATTTCAGTATAACCTGGCACACAGGTAGACTACACTAAGATATATAATTTAGTGCATCGGTTTGTGATTTCCATTAATAGTGTTGCCATGGTAACTAAAAATAGAATTTTTGTGATATTCTTTTAAAATGCTACCTCCTACAGTTTTTGGTCTGAATTAAATAGAACTTTGCACACAAGTAGACTACAGTAAGGTACATACTTTAGTATATCGGTTTTTGAATTCCGTGAACTGTGTAGCCATGGTTACTAAAAATAGAAATTTATGTGAAATACATTTAAAATGTTATTTCTTGTACAGTTCTGGTCTGATTTCAGTATAACTCGAAACAAAGGAACTACACAAGATACGCAATTCAGTGCATCGGTTTTTGATTTCCATGAACGGTTTTGCCATGGTTACTATAAATAGAAATTTCTGTGAAATTCCTTTAAAAAAGTCCACCAAATTTGACCTTGACCTTGGAGTTTGACCCACTTTTACATAAAATTCCGGTCCAAAATTTTACTTTGACCATATCTTTTGATAGTAGATACCAGGAACTTTCTGGACTTTTATACTTTATATATGTATTCTTTGTGGAAAGATCTTTCATTGGATACATTACAAATAACTTTGACTTGTTAACTTTGGAGATTTTCGAACTTATGAAAAACTTTAACCTTGACCATAACTTTTGAACAGTAAGGGCTAGTGCTTTCATACTTCAAATATGTAATCCTTGTGATAAGACTCTTCATCGGATACCAAGGATTTGACCCTTTGACCTTGACCTTGGAGTTTGACCTACTTTTAAAAAGCAAACCTTGACAATAACTTTTAAAGAGTTAGGGCTAGTGTTTTCATACTTTACCTTTTTATGCCCCCGTAAACGAAGTTTCGGGGGTATATAGTTTTCGTCGTGTCCGCCCTTTCAGCTGTCTGTTTGCCCGCAAAAACTTTAACCTTGCCCATAACTTTTGATTTAGTGGACTATGACTTTCGTATTTCACAAGCGTATTCCTTTTGACAAGACTTTTCTTTTGTTACCAAAAAATTTGACCTTTGACCTTGGAGTTTTACCAACTGTTACAGAAAAATTCCAAACTTTTACTTTGGCAATATCTTTTGAACAGTACATACCAGGACATTTATACTTCACATATATATTCTCTTTGGCAAGGCCTTTCATTAGATACCAATAATCTTGACCTGCTTGACCTTGATTTTGGAGATTTCTGTATTTATGAAAAGACTTTAACCTTGGCCATAACTTTTCAACGGTAAGGGATAGGGCTTTCTTTCATACTTCACATATTTAATCCTTGTGAGAAGATCCTTCATTGGATACCAAGAACTTTGACCCTTTGACCTTGGAGTTTGTCCTACTTTTAAAAAGCAAACCTTGACCATAACTTTCAAAGAGTTAGGGTTAATGCTTTCATTCTTTACTTATTTAATCTTTTTGACAAAACCTTTCATTTGATAGCAAAACCTTTGTTCCTTTGACCTTGGAGTTTGACCTACTTTTCAAAATTGTTAATCTTGCCTATAACTTCCTCACGGTCAGGTCTAGGGCTCCCATACTTCACATATGTATTCTTTATGGCAAGACCTTTTCATTGGATACCAATTACTTTGACCTTTTCACCTTGACTTTGGAGATTTTCCTACTTATGAAAAAACTTAAACCTTGGCCATAACGCTTGAACGCTAAGGGCTAGTGATCTCATACTTCACATATGTAAAACTTGTGAAAAGACCCTTCAATGGATACCAAGAACTTTGAACTTGGAGTTTGACCTGCTTTGAAAAAGCAAACCTTGACCATGACTTTTAAAGGGTTAAGGCTAGTGCTTTCATACTTTAAATATTTAATCCTTGTAACAAGAACTTTTATTTGATAGCAAGGACTTTAACCCTTTGACCTTGGAGTTTGACCTAATTTTTAAAAATTTTTAACCCTGGCCATAACTTTTGAAGGGTTAGGGCGAGGGCTTCCATACTTCACATATGTATTTTTTGTGGCGAGACCTTTCATTGGATACCAATTACCTTGATCTTTTGACCTTGACCTTGGATATTTCCGTACTTATGAAAGAACTTTACCTTGGCCTACTTTCATTTTTCAGAATTGTATGTCCAGTGAGTTTGCATTTAAGAAGGTTAATCTTCGCTATGTTGCCATATGGGGGCATCAGTGTTTCATAAACAACATCTTTCATTTGATATTAAGAACTTTGACCTTTGAAAATTTTTACCTTGGCCATAACCTTTGAAGGGTTAGGGCTAGCTTCCATACTTCACATACATGAATGTGTTTTTGTGGCAAGTCCTTTCATTGGATACCAATTACCTTGACCTTTTGACCTTCAAGATTTGCGTACTTATGAAAAAAATTTAACCTTGGCCTACTTTCACACTTCACAATTGTATTTCCAGTGAGAATACCATACTTTGGGTACCAACATATTTTAAAAATTTGCATTTAAGAAAAGTTTAATCTTTGCTATGTTGCCATACGGGGGCATCAGTGTTTCACAAACACATTTTATTGGAATAGTATCTCAGTCCTAAAACAATACACAGAGATCAAGTTCATAATTAGCAATTTATATTGAATCAAAAATATACATTAATTGCATTGAAATATGCAGACACAAATCACAGAATAATATCTTCAATATACATGTGTGTATAAAATTGTATCGAGTGAAATTTAGCTATCCTTGAAGCTTCTCGTTTGTCAGAGAATAGAGTTTATATTCAAATATACGCAAATACGTAAAAGTATTAGATTAAAAATTATGTACGATGTATAGAGGTTTCACATGAGTTACAAAATTTGTAACATGAACATGTAAATGCATATTATCCATGTAACTAACCATTTATGTATTAAAGAAAATAATTGACAAAGTTTTTTTTTAAAATGATGAATATCAATACAGTCAAACCTCATTTTATCTCAATGGGACCTAGATGAAACTCAAAATATCTGACTAGATTCGATTATAAACTCCGTTAAAAAGCCCAACAATTAGATGAACTCCGAAAACAATTTGACTTGTCCCTTGTATTTGAGATACATGTATCAGTGTTTGAGTTAATGAAGTTCCATTGAATACACTGAAAGGAAAAAGAAACGCATAATAGCATAATAGCGAAAAATATTTAACTATGTGGCCGAAAATTATGAAAATTGGTCAGATGTGTAATTTGGTTACTGTGCACTAAAATCGCTGGTCAAAATTACTCAACCATGAAATGTATGGCATCACGTTGGGGAAGTGATAAAAAGCCAAATACACGTGCATGTTGATTATGACAATATCATGATCAAAATTTGTAATGCCAAGAGATGCATTAGAGTTACAGACATCGTTTTCCGATATTTGCAGTCAGTATAAATTTCTTGCAATCATGGTATGGCTGACGGAAGTTACATTGTGTCTAGTAATTGAGTTCCATAAGTGAATAAAAAGGCAAGAACATGTTGCTGTGCAGTTTGTTTTTAAATTTTCAACCAAAGAAGTTTTTTCGGTTATCAGAGAGTAACTTAAAAGGTTTCCAACCAAACATGACGGTGACGTTGGTGCGTAACAACGTCACATCAAGATAGTGCTTTTCATCATGCTACCTCAGTTACTTTCAAGTCATTATCACTGAAACCGATATTTTTACAGCAGACAATCATACTCATATTTTCACCCTAATACTGACAGAAACTCTCTGCTCTAATTTGGTACGCAAGCTTGGCAACTTTACGTCGATTTTACTCTCACACGCGCACGTACGCGTGGTATGCGTAACGTTTTTAGCATGTTCACGCTGAGAAAATGTAGCCAGTGTTTGTCGAGACTTCCATACAAACATTCACATGTACCAAATCAGCTAGATTCTGTAAATTCTATCCTAAATCGAAAATTCGTGGGATTCATTGGACGGGGGGATTTGTTGGCTTTGGAATAACACAGCTACTCTCAACCACTAAGACTATCGTCGGAAGGCTTGAATGATAATCCTATGAGAAAGATAAATGCTCTGGTGAACTCAATGCACAAGAAAATCAAGGCTGTTACAGATGCGCAAGGGAGATGATGAGAATTTTTATTTTAATTTTGGGGGTATCGACATATCAATTTCAATAACTCAGGAATTATAAGTCAAAGTCACACAAGATTTCCCTTACTTGTTGTTTAAAGTTCGATAAAATTGTTTGATAACAATACTGGAAAACATACTGGAAATAAAAGTTTTAATTTTATTCAAAAGTTTATTATGCGTTTCTTTTTCCTTTCAGTATACATGTTTAGGTACATAAAATATGTGCATGTAGATTCGCACTAAAACCAGAAGTCTCTGTCGAGACTGTAGCTCTACTGGTTTGTACTTATAACAAAGGATGAGAAAAGAAGCCATGGCCATAAGACCAAAACTATAGAAGGAGTAGCGTTTTAAAGGAATTTTACAGAAAATTCTATTTGTAGTAACCAAGGCAACAAGGTTCATCGAAATCGATGCACTGTATTATGTATCTTAGAGTAGTCTACTTGTTTGTCAAGTAATATTGAAATCAGACCAAAACTGTAGAAGGAGTAGCGTTTTAATTGAATTTCACAGAAAATTCTATTTTAAGTAACCATGGCAATATCGTTCATCGAAATTAAAAACCGATGCACTATTATATGTATCTTGGTGTAGTCTACTTGTGTGCCAAGTTATATTGAAATCAGACCAAAACTGTAGGAGGTGTAGCATTTTGAAAGAATTTCACAGAAATTTCTATTTTTAGTAACCATGGCAACACCATTCATCGAAATCAAAAACCGATGAACTATTATATGTATCTTGGTGTAGCCTACTTGTGTGCCAAGTTATATTGAAATCAGATCAAAACTGTAAGAGGAGTAGCATTTTAAAGGAATTTCACAGAAAATTCTATTTTTAGTAACCATGGCAACACCGTTCATCGAAATCAAAAACCGATGCACTATTATATGTATCTTAGTGTAGTCTACTTGTGTGCCAAGTTACATGTATATTGAAATCAGACCAAAACTGTAGGAGGAGTAGTGTTTCGAAAAATTGTTTACAGACAAACGGATAGCTAGACGGACGGACGACGGACACCTTACTATGGCATAAGCTCTTCTGGTCTCTGACCAGTAGAGCTAAAAATCTTTAAAATTTAAATTGCTATATACATGTGTATGCACTCATTATACATATACAGGTGTACAATTTATAGGCAATAACAAATACTTATTCAGAATAACATACACCTATGTACACTTTTAGTATTGATTTCATGAACATGCACTTACCATAAGCACTTCCTTTTTTTAAAAAATACAATGTAACTTTAATGATGATCTGATGAAGAAATTTAGCACTCTGGCAGCTAACTTTTCAAATTATCTGTAATACAAGTTGACCAGTCACCATCAACAGAAAAATGTAAATTTATAAAAAATTATCTATTTTACATTTCAATTCTTTTTCGTAATTTTTTCTTTATTGTTTTTTAAATAGTTTTTGACACATTTTTATGACCTCATGACAACAAGTCACCATTGAGGAAATTAGTACATCTACTGCACAACATAACAATAACTCCACAAATAAATAACATCCTGGTAGTTCACAGTCTAACCAATCTAATTTGACTAAATGTTAATCTACACTAAAACTAAGACAAATACAAATTATGTACAAGATACTGCCAAAGTACTGTATGAAAATGTGTAATACGAGAAAATTAATATAAAGCAATATGTTTCCTAAGCGTACACAAGATTCATATTACAAAACTCATCGATACTGTAAATAGTAAAATGTCTTAAAATGTAATTTTTTACCATACCTATGGTCTTTTAATTGATCCAATATTTTAGTTATCATCTAGAGTAATAACTGACATCTTATTTTACAAAATGTTCTTCTATTTCTCATTTATATAAATAGAAATTTAAGCTCATAGAAATCTCAGGGATGTCTCCAAAACCAAAATGGTTAATCATTAATAAGCCTGCTTTTACCATCTTTCATATTGCATGAATCAGTTAAAGCAACTTTTATATATCTAGTCTGACTGATGCTCTGGCTGCCAGCCTCTTTAATGTTTTATAACTATATACATGTATACACTACAAACTTTTTCTGAACTTCAGACTTACCAAGCTGATTCTAACTTTTTTTCCATTTCTTAATGTTCTCATCATTGAACTTTAATGTTTCTTGCAATAACAAATCAAATTTTGACATTTTTGTTTAAATCTCCTACCGATTGAACTTCCGACTTCTGATATCATGACTCTAGATCTTTGTTGGCACATTGACTCTATTAGCTGCAATTATAATGTAGTCCTCTCCCTTTTTTTTAATTTGGGAGAGGAAACAACAGATTAAAAAAAGATCGTTGAGGGCTACATTATTGCAGCTTTGACTCTATGAGACACCTCTTGGGGCTATGAACTTCTCAGTCTACTGTTGAGGGGGTGTAAACTGAGAAAAAGTTTTGCAAGAGCTTGTGATTCAGTGCTCAGTGCACTTTCAATGAAGTGTGCTTAGAAATCCTTTTTAGGCCACCCCATGCCAAAATATCCTTTACATGTGTAATACATGTGCAAGTGTATATAGCTTGTTTAAATATTTTCGCAACAGATGTATAATAATTATATTAATAATGTATAACAATTATAAAGGATATTTCTACATGGAATGGCCTAAATTCTGGTTAGCATAGGAATGTTTTGACTTTCTTTTGTATTTTTTTCTTGCATTTGATGCATTTCTTCATTGGATCAGAGCAGGGTTTACAGACTAGCCTGTGACCACAGGGAGTGAACACAATGACTCGCTCTGACTTCTCACATTTAACACACAGTAACTGTTTCTTCAGTCTCTGGTTTTCTTCTTCAATGATTTCTGGATCTAATTCTAAAAATACATAATGGTTCTGAATAACCTTTTTTATCATGCAATATAGGAGCTAGTTATACGTTAATCAGCTTTAATCATAAAGGAATCTTTGAAATATGAAATACAGTGAAACCTGTCTAATACGACATGGACTGGGAGACAGATTTTGTGTTGGAATAGACAGGGTGTCGGATTGCACAGTGTTAAAAACGAGGGAAATACAAAAATTGGAAAGAAATTTAACGTCGGAATTCACAGTGTGTCGGATTATTCAGGTGTCGGATTATACAGTTTTCACTGTACATGTATTTTTAAGCAGGAACTATTGCAAATACAGGTGACTCTCAATGGCTCGAACTCCGATCTCTCGAAGTTCTCGATCTCTCGAAGTCAACCTCCGGTCCCGTTTTTTCCCCCTATATAACTAAGCAAATTTACTCCTGATCTCTCCAACTTCTATCTCTCGAAGTTCTCTATCTCTCGAACCAAAACCTGGGTCCCGTTACACAAATTTCATTAAATTTTACCCTCTATCTCTCGAAGTTTTGATTGCACATGTATACACGCCAATCAAGTGTGAAATTGATGCAGCCTGGACTTACCTGGAAAAAGTGAACGCCTTGGGCTGGCATGGAGGTGTTAACTGGGTGTTTACACAGATGACACTACACCTATGGGTCGTTCGTGTGTTGATAAAATTAATTGGTTATTATTCACAGGGTAAATTATAAACTAATTCTTAATAACTTATTTTGAATTGAAACCGTGACGATAATTTTCTTGAAATTAATTTATAGATATTTGTTTCAGTAAGTTTCAATAGACTACGAAATTTCATTATGATTATATAGAGTCTACATAATCCCAGTATGGCAAATATTGCACAAGAAATTCCTTTCTCAAGGACTGAATACCGATTAAGAAAAATCTGGTGAACACTGGTGAAAGACCCGATCAAGCCGCGGAAAAGCCAAACCGACAATTGCTATTAGGGTTTCATGTAATAATGAAATAGGAACAAATAAATATTGAAACTTTAGGAATTCATTTTATTTAATCGAAATATGATCATTGTTGTTGATATCAAGTAAATTACCAGTAAAATACGATTGAAAACGTGCAATGACTTTATTTACATATACTTCCGGTATCTATAAAAGTCGAACTTCGATGATCGGAACTCAAAATTCCGGATTTTATTTACTTTCTATCTCTTGAACCCTTCGATCTCTCGAACTTTTCTTGCGGTCCCCTGAACTTCGAGAGATCGAGAGTCACCTGTACATGTAGAATCTTAAATTGTGCATTTATTTATTTTGTCATCCTGACAAAATTTCAGATTAGATTGATGATTGATCCATAAATGCACCCATGTATAAAAAAACATCGTGTCCTGGTGATCACCACTATTGGAAACAACGTCTTATTCAGTATGTACATTGTATAATATCTGAAACTCACCTTGTTCACTTTCTGAAGTTTCTGAAAGACAGGAATTACACACACGTTAGAACATATGCATATGTACAGAACTTTATTGGAAAATTAAAATGATTTCAAATGAATTGAAGACCTCCTTGTAAATTACCTGTAAATGATGCTATGTTCCCTAAGCCTTGAGAGGTAGGCTTGGACTGTGGCTGGACAGTTGGTTCAGGAGGAAATGTTTCTCCTTTATCCTCCATTTCCAACAATAAGTCCAAAAGATTACTGGTAGTATAGTCATTGTGTCCTGATTTAATAAAATGTGCATATATTATCAGTGAAGATTCTAAAATAAAAAAAAATACATGTGTTTGTTTCAAAGATCTGCTTGAAACAACATATTTTGGGTTAGTGGGGAGGTAATTTCATGAGTACCAAGTATACTTAGATGATTCAATTAATAAATCTATATTGACAAAATAACAAGTAGTGGGGCTGTAAATTCAATGATAAAGGTAACCTATAAAATCAATGAACATTGATCCTCCACAAATGATAGGGATTTCACAGTATGCAAGGTTATAGACTAAAAATTTGTATAACTACCTTTTTCTGCAACAAATCTGTCAATGACATGTTGAACTTTGACCCTAGAATACCCCATGCTGATAAGACTCCTGGCAGCTTGTGAGCAAATAGGGTTGTTGTCCTCTTCACTGGGCTTTCCAGGACCTAACATAGGATGGGTAAATGATTATCTACTCTCGCAGAGGATTAATTAAATTCAAGCAATATTTTATCATATAATTGAAATTTCATAGGAAATACTTGATGGAGATAAAGAGAATTAATTAAATTCAAGCAATATTTTATCATATAATTGAAATTTCATATGAAATAATTGATGGAGATAAATGTGTAGAATCATACCAGCAGTGTTAGATCCTGACTGTGACAAGGAATCCAAATTGCCTGCTCCCTGTATAAACATACAATTATATACATGTACAGTGTACAAATAAATGTGACCTTTCAATCTAAACATATCCTTAAAACGTTTTTACTAAATGAACTAAAGTAATATAGAAATGTTTTGGCTCTAATTTACTTGAAAATAAATAACACTTTCAGTTTTCAGCATTAGAATTTTTTCCTTCATTAGAACCCATTTAAAAACTATAAAGATAGAATTTTTTCAAGGTCAAACCCAGATTTTTGTTTTTTAAAAAAATCATCATAATGATATATTTATTTAACTTACCATCCCATATTTCTGTTGAATTTCATCAATGAATTGTATTCCTTTGATCTTCATAACAAACTTACAGAATGGAAACCATCGAGCATGCTCAGTCCAAGGGTCATCACCTTAACACAACAATGACACAACTCCTGTTATCAACAACTCATTCAAAACATAGTAAATATAATTTATCCATTATAAAGATTATCACACTCATCTTACCTGGTTCCCACTCCCGTAATCCCCCATCACAATAATGACATCGGACGGCATCCTCCTCACCTAGGTCAAAGGTCAAACAAATTTGATGAACTTTACACTAAATAGCATCATAGTAATGATGGTATGGATACATTGTACAATATATGTCCCTTTTCGAATTACAACCCTTTAATAGTTTAAGGATTAATTATAATTACCTGTGAAGTAAAATCCAGCTTCAGCAATTTGTTTTGGAGTCTGGGTAATAGACGAAGGCCATTTCTCTGTTTGGAAGGATTCTAGTCGTCTGTTAAAATCTTGCATCTGAGGCGTTTTAGGATTATATATCTAAATGAAATGCACCAACAGAACTTCATGATCAAGTTATTAATATTATATCTGCAGAAATACTGCTTAAATTATACACAGTATGTAAATCAAGTGTGCATTCATTTTTTCTTGGCTTTTGTTGAATCTGCTTAATCTTTTAAACTAGTAGTATTGTTGTGTCAATAAAATGAAGATAATTTTCTTTCTAATCTATCAATTTTTCTTCAACATATCAACTTACTTTTCTCCATTCTTGCTGCACATGATTAATGAAGTCCTGTCCTTTCATTTTTTTGAGATATTTACAGTGTGGGGAGTGTCTGGCGTGCTCTGACCATGGGTCATCTGTTTCGTCCCACTCAGCAAGGCCAATATCACAGGCAAAGCACCTTACAATGTCCTGCTGACCAGTGAAGAAGAACCCACACTGCACCAACAAGACCTTATTCTGTTTATCATTGAAGGGCCAGAATACAAAGGTTTTCAATCTGGATTCTACAGTTTTGTAATCTGGATGCCTCATTGAGTAAGAAGGTTCTTCTTCTGCCGCTATGGAATCAAATAAGGATGCATTTGTCGAAGATTTCTTTATTTCATTTGTGTCATGGATTGGTATTCCTGGAGATGGGGCACTTTCCATCTCCTCTGATTCTGCAGTAGCAGCAATGGTGTCTCCTCCAAACATTGAATGAGGCTGAAGGTGGGGCTCACCAAGCATTGTCAAGTAGCTTAAGGAATCTGTGCTCTCTGTCTGAATCGGAAGTCCTCTTGCATCCGACACATTCTCTGTTGGACGAGAAATACCTTTCTGCGAGTTGTATCCACTGTCATATTTAAGATAAGTTTCTTCATCTTTATTGAACAAGAAATCCCTTGTTATGTTAGATATTTTGTCTTGCTGTTGCACATTGATATTTTCACTAGATGCTCCAATGTATGGTTGAAAAATATTGCTGGTACTAGTATTTGATCCATTTTTCTCACTTATTCCTAAATTTGACAATTCAGGGACTGGGTTGCTATTCTCCATCTGTAGAGCACCATGGAAATTGGAACTGAAGATACCACTGTTCATTTCACTTTTTGGCTTATGAAATGGTAAAACAAAATTTCCTACACCTTCCTTATCTTTCTTCTGTTGAAGAGCATGAGAACAGTTTTCTGACAATCTCAAATGCATGTTCAGAACAGTATCACCTCCAAGGAGAGAACTTAGTTCTCTAGTTTCAATGTGAAGCTTACAGTCATAACATGCCACAGAAGATCTCTGAACATCAAAGTAAAAGCCAGAGTCAACTAACCGCAGTGCAGACACTGGAGCACTCAGTGGCCAGTCCTTAAATGAAGCCAGCCGATTGAAGTGGTTTTCCATCATCCCATTTACTTCATGAATAAAAGGATATGCCATAATTGTTGTGGATATCCCAAAATATCTAAACATGGACAGAGGTTCAAATGTCACAATATCCTCTGGCATAGTAACATGTCTGGGCAGTGGTTTGGAATTGGGCAGCAGTTTCACTCGAAGATGATGCTTCTTGTGAATAACTTCATTTAAAGCTACAGTAAGAAATGGTAACATAACCTCATCATTTGTGAATTGTATTCCAAGCTCATCTCTCAATGAGCTTTTGCTTTCAAGTATAGAAAATAAAGGTCTTCTATGCAAAGGTGGAACTGCAGATCTAGGTACTTTGCGGATTGATTTCATTGGCCAATTCTCTTCACCACTTAAATCTGTTTTAAATTTACGTAAACTTATTGTTTCTGAGCTTTTTTCTTTCTCTATTGTTTTATTGTCATGTTTCAAATAACCTGTTTTAGCATTTGCTTTCCCAGTTTTTATACCTAGAGATTTTGATTCTTTTGTATTAGATTTCCTAGCCTTACACATATAGTCAATTTTTTGCATTTTTTCCAACTTCAAAAGATATTTAGACTCTGCAGCTGTAGCATTTTTAGATATAGATTTTTTTGCATCATCAAAAATACTTGAGACTGGAATTTGCAAATTTCCACAATCTTCTTTCACGTTTAATTGAATTAAAGTCATCTCTGTATATTTTAAAGAATGCATGCTTCTATCTGTTTTCATGAAGGCATTCAATCTTCTCTTTTGAATGGACACGTTGGAAAATTCAGAATAAAATTTGATAATTTCTACAATCTCCTTTGGGTATATAGTCACAGTCATCATATTCAAAAAAGCTATCATGCATTTATCACTGTACTTTTCTGCCATGCACTTTTTTAAGAATTGCATTAACTCATCCCGGGTAAGATCTCTGTGCTTTCCTTTTTCATGGAAGGATAATTTATCAATGTCAGAATGGATCAGTGAGAAATCAAAAATCAGAATGCTCATTTGCAACAAAAGTTTGGTGGTTTCTGTAGGTCCCACAGTCATAAATTCCTCTATATGTTTATCATGTTTATCTTCATACGTCTTAAGCAAAGACGGTTTTAATTCCCTTATCACGGCTTCAATGGAATCAACATCCATATTAGGAGAATCAACTTTTGAATCGTCAAGCTTCATTTTAGTAAGTATCCCACTTGCCTGAAGGGAAAAGCAAGCTGAATCAGAAAACAAATAATGATAACCAAATTTAACAGGTAGTGTTCAAGAACATTATTAAGTTACGAACACATACACTAATCGATGTTCAAGCTTTTTAATATCTTTTAATTAAATTGCATTTAATGGACATGAGAGAGAACAGGCTAAAATGCAATCCACAAAGTATCTAAAATGTAAAAACATTGAAATTTTCAACTTTTACATGTAAGTTCCCAATATTTATCAAAATTCATTGACCGTCTTTTGTTCGAAGTGAATCTTAATTTTATGAAATATAAAACCTAAACATGCTAAATGTACAAAATCATGAAAATAAATATTTTAGGTCCTAAATACACAGCTCATGCTTTCCTGCAAATGATTTTTTTTTGTTGTATTTTTAACACCATGGTAGATCTTTTGACAAACAGCAAAACACTGAAATCTCCCTTCTCAAGAACTGTTTAAAAGCTTTTATCATCATGATCATAACTTCAAAGTGTTGATCTTCCTGTACATTTTTCCCTAATCTTTAAGAGTTCCAAAGCAGTCCTACAGCATTTTCTACATATTCTAAGGACAGTTTTATTTAAGAAAAGTATAGGGTCCTATATATATACATGTACTTAGGTATATAAGCCCTAGCTGACAGAAAGCACAAGTTTATTTGGCCTTAAATTCATTGGAAAACGAGTAAACGTCATCACTTTAAGGTTTCATTTGTCAAGTAAAGTTTTGAAGAAACATTCTAACACTATAACAAACTAAAACTCCAGTGGTGATCAAATGATAGTTAATTACATACCTGCCTCAAACGGCTTGCACCACTACTAAATATTCCCTGTACAACCATCTTTTGTCTTTTTTTACATCTAAATTTAATTTAAAAACATTTAATAACTATAACATACAATTTTTAATTAAATACATGTATTTGGATTTTATTTGGTGGTCATTATAACATCAGGCCAGGTTTGACGTTAGTAGAAAACTATATATATAAATTTTAACATAGATCTATAAAGTTCTAGCTGCAGATCTGTAGCTCTCCGAAAAAATAAATTGACAGCTAGACCAGAGAGCTACAGTGCCACTCATTGTAACAACTGTATATTTATTGTGCACAAAAAGCATGATAAGTTGCGGCTTAGTTCTGGATTAATTCTTCCAATTTCTTACCTCAATCGCGAAAAAGATAGATTTAAAAAAAAAACTCCTTACTTTTCTATGAAGTACTCTCGTAGTTGACATCTGCACAAAGTGCGACTTGGACCAAATTATCTTGCAAACCAAAATGGCAGTATATTAAAATAGACGAAATTTTCTCGATTTCTCGATGATCTCGATTTCAGGGCCAGGGGGGCTATTTACAACAATTATAAGGAATGTTTTTTGTGGAAACAGTGAAAGAATATGTTAGGAACACATGGTTAGTAATATTTTGAGATGACAGTTTAAAAACATGGCAATATAAATCAAGATACACTTTTTTGTGCGCAATAAATATAACATTTTTACAATGAGGTGGCACTGTAGCTCTCCGGTCTGTCAATATATTTTTTCAGAGAGCTACAGGTCTACAGCTATTAGATAAAGCTCTAGACCTATACATGAACTTAATAGGTTTATGCTATAAAGAGAAAATTTCAACCTTCAAAATAAAGGATTTCCAAATAAAATTAGCAATGTCATTGTATCTTTGAATTGTACTGCCATTGATGGAGAGATTATATTCATAAAATCCACAAGAAATGGGTACATTTACAGTAAAAGTTTTCAAGAATTTGATAAATTTATCACTTCTTGAACTTGTAGAATTCTTGTTATACTAAAATATAGCATTATAATTTAATTATAAACATAAATAAATTTAAAATTTATCCAAGTTCGTTTACTTCGACTTCTTGAAAACTCTTTGATACTGGAATTACCCACTTCCGTAACTGACGTAAGACTTTTGTAAAGTTTAGTACGTGTCACTATAAACAGATGAAAAAGAAACAGGTTTGAAGGTGATTCAAAAACATACAAGTACTTTTTTGACTGTATAAATTTACAATAATCACTTGGATATTCTTTCGTCATGATATTAAAAGACTAATATTACTAATCAGTTATAACCATTCAAAACACCACACACTTCCATTTCTGACTTACGTTTTGAGGCGAGGAATTATTGGAACACTTCTCAGACATTTTCATGGAAATCCCCTACACTAAAAATAACTAAATTTTGCCATCTCCCTTTGAGCTCCTCGGAAGCGTAACGGAGTCAGCCGAGGATTGCCGATTGGGGTCATTTCGTACAATCGTCAATCCCCGATTGGCTACGAACCATCCGAGGAACTCCGAGTGCATTTCGTAATCGCATCGGGCGACGACAAGTCAATCGGCAATCCTCGGCTGACTCCGCTACGCTTCATTCAAACGAGAATTTTTCAAGGGGGGGGGGGGGGGTGTTGTAGGGGAAACGAGTTGTAATAACGTACGTTTTACACAAACATGTAGTTAAATAACGCAATAGGAGACCGGATGGAATATGCATGGTTTTTAAAAGTGAGAGGTTGATAAACCTGGGAAAAAGTACTTGCATAAATAAATTGCCTGAAAATTTTCGAAAAAGAAAAGAAAAATATATCTTTGAACCCGAAAATCCTATCTTGTACAGGGGGTGGGGTTTCTCTTTGTATTCACAACAAAATTTATTTTATATTATATTACAACATATTAGCCTGAACATTTTCTATAGTAAAAACACAACAAAAATTTGGGGCTTTCTTCTTCCTCTTTTTTTTTGCAAATCCAAGGGTCGGGGTCGGGGGGGGGGGGGGGGAGTGCAACCCCCGTACCCCCTCTGGATCCGCAACTAGCTGTTATTTACTTACAGAGCGTGACTGAAGATGCTGCTTACCGCCTCCATTTTGTTCCATTTGTTGGTTCATGTATATGTTTTCAAGAACACATATCTAAAGTCAAATTAACATATTTATTTATAGAATAGAATATAATAGAATAGAATAGAATAGAATTTATTTCCAATCATGGTCCCAATGGGGGCATAACACAGATACAAGTATATATTATTACATAAAATAGAGACAATGTACATAATGAAACATTAAACCAATTTACCCATGAATTAAGGTATGCAAATATTGTAAATACAACATAGTATAAATATTCAAAAATCATATACAATATTTTTATATGAATTGACTTAGTAATACTAAGATTTACTCATTTTCATTTGTAAAAAGTCATATTAAGTTTTCATTAATGAACATAATAAAAAGATTAAAGCAATTTTGTACATGGTGGTGTGCAAATATTGTAAATATATTAAAAGATAAAGGTCTTTTAATGGTTGCCAGTCTACAAAAGACATCAAGGGACGGTGCTTCAGGAATGCATAATTATAATTATTTATAAGCACATGTGGCGCAACTCATAGTCTCATACATACAGCTACATAATTCACAAAAATACAGATTTCATTATATTAAATGCATCACATATATGAAGTCACAGAATGAGATATTTCTTGTTGATTAATTTAACCATGGGCGCTTGCTATTGGTTTCATGTTATCTCGGTGGATATTCTGCTGGGCTAGATATTTGGTGGACGCCTGGCGTCGGATCCCACTAAGACCAAATATCTAGCCCAGAATCAGCACCGATCAGGTTTCAGGATATATAGTGTATTTTTGTATTATTTGTTTTAATACATTCAAATACAATAGAAATTAAAAATCTTATATAGTAGCTATTCATTTAAGATACAGATATACATAATTGATTTAAAGATACATGTAGGCACTGAATTGAACGTATCTTCATTTATAAAGATAACCTAACAACCAATACATTGTAAAATACTCCGTGCAGTTTCCTCCATGTTCATGATGTCGCTGTTAGTTATACATGTTTTCAACTACAGAAAAAAAGAACCTATATATATATATATATATATATATATATAGGTTTAATTGAATTGTACCTATTGGCTATGTTCAATTCCTGCTTGATTATGTTTCATTGTACCATATTGAGCTTATTGTACCATACTGAGCTTAAATATATCATTGTACCTATCTTTAACTCAATTGACAATTATTGTACCTATTTTGAAATCAATTGTACTTAATTATCTTTAAATCATTTGTGTATGTTACTTTATGTTTAAAATGCGGCGCTCCATAAATACGGGCCTATATACTCCCAGTAGTTGCATGGAAACAATTTCATTTTTCAGTTGGGTATTCACTACCGACATTTCAAATTACCTTAAATTGACAAAAAGGTCATATTTAAAGATATTATTGAGGGGATACAATCATATAGTACATGCTGCTATATTTTCTTTTATATTCTATATTGGCAAAATGATCACTAATCAGACAATAGAAATTTACTAATTACAAGCTTTGAAAAAAAAAGATAATCAAGGAGGTATTGTCCAAAATTCCGTAAAAACACTTTCGTGAAGAAGGGTTGTATGACGTTAAGAAAAGTCACATAGGATGCCTTGATTGACGATTGAAAAGCTTGAGATTTTATTTTCTCAAATACACGTACCAGTTAATTCCTTGAATGTTATAGAAGTAAAGTTAAAATGATATCAGTTTTGTCAATTAATTGTTTATTTAACCATTTACGCTTTATGAGACCCTTCATAAAAAGTGAAAATAACACATTTCCTTGTCAATATATGGGACTCTACAAGTAGTGAAGTACAAAATGCCCATTAATCGCTTTCTACAAATAGGATCTGTATTTTCATGACTCAGAAACATTTTTAAAAGCTAGGTATTCAATCAGATTTGGCGTCACACGTTTTATTTAATTGCTTGAACATTCAGTCATAAGCCTTATGAGATAGCAAACAGAAAGACTATTTCTAATGGAATTATTCCATATACAATTATAGTTACCTTTTGTGATTTTTAGATATTTTTAAATGTTTTCATTTATTCCTTTTCAATTTCTGATGAAATT